GGTTATACTGAGGCGGGTTGGGTCATGTTGTGTTGGGTCACGTTGTGTTGGGTCATTTGTGTTGGGTTCCACTGGATCATTTTGGTTGGGTTCCTTTGGATCATTCATGTTGGGTTGGGCTGGCACGGGTCATTCATGTTCCACCACCCACAGTGACACTTTCCAGAACTTTTGTCCTACAAACCACTTCCAGGAACATCCCCTTGGCTCAGCCGCCCTTGGTTTCTGCTGCTCTCGTGGAAAGAGTAGCAAGATTTCCTGGAAAATGTGAATTCCCTGTCCTGACTTTGTCCTAGAAGATCCCCCACGTGCAAAGAGAAACCTGTGTATGCTCTGCACGTCACCCAAAGCACTGCATGACATCAGCACTGACACCAGCAGCTCCCAAAAACCCCGTGGGGAGGGAAGGGGGACAGATTCCTTGCATGACCCGATGGAGGCTGCCCGTGCAGGATCCAGAGTCCCTTTCCTCCACGTGGGGCAATGGGAGCCCTACAGAGTGGGAGCCACTGGCAGGGACTGGCAGGGCCTTTCCCAGGCAGAGGGCTAATTCCGGATGCCCTGGACCGGATGCGGGATCTCGTCACCAGCACCCGCTGGAGAAGGGAAGAGCATTGTGTGGGCTGTTGCTTTTTTTAAAGCCGTCTGTGACCCCGGGAGTAGCAGCGTGTGAGTGAGGAAGGAGGGGAGAAGAGGGAGGGCAGAAAATTCCCAGGTCCCAGCTCTCTCTGGGAAATCCCCAGAAAGCTCCCAAGCACTTTCTTTCCCAGCACGTGAGTTCCTACATGCTGAGGCCACGCAGCAGGTGCATCTCCAGGGCAGCTGGGGGGGATGTGTCAGCCCCTCCGAGGGGGCGTGGCGCTGCCTGTCCCCATCCCACCGCACCCTGCGGGGCACAGGAGGGACCACAAATCCCGGTGAGCTCTGGAGAGCGTGCTCAACACCCCGAGGAGAAACAGCCCCGTGAGCACGAAGCATGGGACATCCCAATGCTGCTGCGCTGCCCATCCCAAACGCAGCCACTGGGACACCACGGGAGGGGGATAGCTCTTCCCCAGAGCCCCCCAGATCCCCGAGAGCTGCCCTGCAGCTGAGTCACTCGTTAATCGCCTTTACTGGCATCCATTGCTCCCGTCGGGAACACGCCTGGATCCCGCAGGCACCCGGCGGGCTGAGGGGCTGTGCCAGGGCACGGTGGGACAGGGGACAAGGGCTTCCTGTCAGGAAGGTCCAAGGGACAGGCGGCAGGCACTGCCCGAGCACGAGGAGCACGGGGTCCGTCACCGCATCCGCTGCCTCCTCCGGGGATCCGGCACCGGGGCACGATCGCACCCCGGGAAGGGCCCGCGACAAATTCTCATGGAGGCCGGGATGCCTCTGCCGTGAGCTCACCCAGTGACTAACTTGTTTATCTCCCGCGGGAGCTGCACCGAGGTTTTTGGGAAGCGGCAGATCCCCGACAACTCTGCCTGTTCCAGGCACCGCCCCCCATCCCTTTCCTGAAAAACGCTCTCGGAAATGGGGAATCCGCGGTGGCACCACTGCGTCCCCTCGCTGCGAGGGCAACGCGGGCAGCGGCTCCTCTGCCTTCTGCCAGAGCCGCACACCCGGGAGTGCCACGGCAGGGAAACTGGAAAGGCTCAAAACACCTGGATTTTGGAAAACCGGGCGTGGAAATTCCGGCACAGCACTGGGGAGAAGCTCCGGGTGCTTCTCCGAGCTGGTTTGACTGCGCAGGTAACGCGCTGAGACCTCATCCTGCCCCATTCCCAAACCCGGGAGACACCACATGGACCTCATCCTGCCCCATTCCCAACATGGCAAGGCACCATCACGTTTAAGCACAGAGGAAGATGTCCCTGGAAGTGTCCAAGGCCAGGTTGGACGGGGTTGGGAGCAATCCAGTCTAGTGGAAGGTGTCCCTGCCCGTGGCGGGGCGGGTGGAAATGGATGGGCTTAAGGTTCCTCCCAACCCAATCCGTCCTGGAATTCCCTATGTCTGAGAGGTTTAACCTAATCCCCAGGTAACCACAGCCCAGGGCTCCAGAGCCACCACGTGTCATCCATTCTCAGGGAGTCCCCAGTGCCTCCTGCCGCTCCCATTTTCGGGTCTGGGGCTCCTTCTGATCTACCATCTCGGTCCCACGACCCTGCCCCCGCGGATGCTTCGTGCTGGAGAACAACCTGGAGCACCGGGGACTAGGACCCGGCGGGGTCCTGCCCGGGATGTGGGGCTGGGATCGTGTCCCGGGGGGAGCGGTGGGAGCGGGATCCGGGGGGCTGCAGCCCCACCGCCGGGCCGAGGCGGCCCTCCAGCGGGCACCCGCTGCCTTCCCCGCCTACGAGCCGCTGCTCCGGTGCCTTTTGGTGGAAATCAGCGTTTTATAACCCGAAAGGTGGTGTCTGTATCTCGCCCCCGCCCCTTTCTCCTCCCCCTACCGGCCACCTGCAGCGGGGCAGGACAGGGACAGGGAAAAGTGGTAGGGACAGGGAAAGGGGCAAGGCAGGGGCATGGGAAGGGACGGGGACAGGACAAGGATGGAGCAGGGATAAGACAGGGATCAGGACAGGGCAGGGACAGGACCGGGACTGGGCAGCGCCGCCCCGCCCGGCCGCCAGGGGGCAGCTCCTCTCCGCGCCCCGCTCCGTGCCCTAAGCCAGTCACCGCTCTGCCGACCCCGTGCAGTCGGGACACGCACGTCTCTATGGTGTGGGTGCGCGGCGCTCTATCCGCCCCCCCTCCCCGCTCTCTATGGCGCAGGCGGTGCTCTGTCCCGCGGCCTCCCGGTACCGGGGCCATCCTGGGCCGCTCCCATCCCGCTCCTATCCCGCTCCCGGCCCGGCGCCATCCCCGGCCCGCCCCGGCTTTATGCTTTGCGGGCGCTCTGCCCCGCGCATCTCTATGGCGGCGGCGGCGGCCCCGCCCCGGGGCGGCCTGAGGCGGCCCCGGCCCCGCTCCCGGCCCGGCCCCGCCGCCGCCCGCGGGCTCTGGGGCCCGGCAGCGCCGCTCCGAGCACCGGGGCCGGGCCCGGGGAGCCGCCCAGGTGGGTCGGGTGGCGGCGGGCCCGCCTCGGGCTCCGTCCGCGGAGAGCCCCGTTCGTAACGTGGCTTTTTTTCCCCTTGTTTTGTGTTCCCCCCTAAAGGGTGCCCGACGCGCCGGTTCCCTCGATGTGTGAGAGCTCCCGAGCGGCGCGTTCGGCCTGCGGGGCGCAGGGAGCAGCGGCGGCAGCAGGAGGAGGAGGAGGAGGAGGAGGAGGAAGGAGCAGGGAAGAGCCGGGAGCGGCAGTGGAGACCCTCGGGAATTCCATCCGTTCAGCATCGCAAGCCTCGCTCCATCACCCCCCAGCTCAGCCCCGCGCCCGCAGGGCCCCAGGTGACACAGACACGGGGTTCGGGCAGCGATCGACACAGATCCCGTGGTTTTTCCCTCCTTTTTTTTTTTTGTTGTTTTTTTGTTTTTTTTTGTTTTTTTTTGTTCCCCCTCTTTCCCTAGAAAAAAAAAACAACTGTCCCTGCCCGGGAGAGCTGCCTGGCCTGTCTGTGCCCGGCCAGGACCCAGGGCACATGCATGAAGTGATTACAAAATAGAAATTTATTCCAGTAACTCTCGCCCTGGGGGTTCTGCCATGAGGGTTGGTTGCTTTGCTAGGGGAAAAAAAAAAAAAAAAAAGGGAATTAGAGCTTGTTTCTCTTAAGACGTGCTGCCTGGAAGGACTTTACTCGGGATAGGTGCAAACAGAAGAGCTGAAATAAGGTTCTGGGAATGGGGCCTGGAGTCAGGTGGTCGGTGTGAAACAGGGGGTGAGCAGATAATTCCCTTTACTTCCAGGAAAATGAAGTAGCTGTGAAGCTGGCAGTGCCTGGGATGTCTTTATTAGCTCCTTAATTTCATTGAAATCCCACGTGGGGAAGGGCTGGAAGGGGAATCTGGTTCCTGACAGCTGAGATCTGATGGAGTTGTCTGGGGTGGGGGGGAACAGAAGCTCAGCAGGGAACAACCAGTCTGGCTTTTGTCTCTGTGGTAATTAATTGTAATTAACTGGGTCAGCTGGGGCTGTTAAACTCTGCCTGTGTCCTGTCCAAGAGGTGCTGCCATCCTGGGGGTTCTGGTTTGTCCCTTGGGGTTGTGCTCTCTGCCTCTTTGGCTCTGTCACAGCCCTCAAGGCAGCTCAGCCTTTGCAGAATTCCTCTTTTCCTCACTGTTCCCTCCACTGCAGGGAGAACTGGCAGGTCGAAGGAGCCCTTTGGAGCCAGGAGGCAGCAGGACATGAGATTTGCAGACAGGGTTTCCCAGGCTGCTTGAAAACCAATTTCTTTTCCCTTTCCCTCTCTTTGAGGCTGTTGTGCTGCTGACATTTCCCAGTTTATTACAGATCAGAACCCTTGGCTCTCTGACCAGGTGCTTCCAGAAGTGAGAGAGGCTGTGTGAGTGGGAGCAGATGAATGTTTGAAATGTTTTTCATGGAAAACTCATTCATTTTTTGGTTTTTTTTCCAGAGGAGCTGGACAAACAGGCTGGATGTGCTGGAGCAGGTCTGGGCACAGCAGAGCAGAGAGGGCAGTGGGGTCACCCTGTGCCCAGGGGGAGTTTGCTAAAAACTTGTGAAAGCCCCAATATTTTTGGGGTTTCTCCTTCCTTAGATGTTCCCCTTGCTGACATTACTTAGTTACTTGTTCTTTCAGCATTTTCTTTGCACAGATTGGGGATTGTGGCTTTTCCACAAAGAGCTTAAAACCAGTTTTAGTTCCTTCAAATGTTTCTTGTGAGACAAACTGCAGGGCCAGACAGGAAATGCCCCCTGAGATGAGCCCCCTGTGAGGCCCATCCTTCCTTCCCACTCCTTCCACAGCATCTCCTGTCCTTTTTCTCTCTCCACAGACTGATTGGAATTCCTCAAACTATGCCAACTTTTGAGTTTTCTGCTTTTCCTTCCAGCTCTGTTGCTCTTCTTCACTCTGCCAGGCCCAGCGTGGGTTCTGTGCCTGCTCCTCTGTGTCACCCACCACATGTGTTTATGCACCTGATAGTTTAATGTCTTCTCCCTCCTGCCCTTTCTTTTTGAATTTTAAGGGGAATCTTGTCCGGAATTCTCTCATTTCACTGCTGCCCAGGTGAGCTGTGCAAGGTCTGAACAACAGAAAGCATAAAGGTGAGGGAGCAGGAAGAGAGTTTGCTGTTCATATAGCTCATTCCAGCCAGTCAACTCTTACTAAACAACAAAAAATGTAAATCCTCTCCTAATCATAAAGGTTTTTTTTTTGATTTTAGCTCCTCTTAGTTTTAGTCTCTCTTGGAAAGATTGAATTTAAGGCTCTCTGTGGGCTGCCTGTGGTGTTTTCTTCCAGTAAGAGCAGCAGGAGGTCTCTCTGATTAAATTTAAATATCTGGGTCACCTCACATTACCTGTGTTTGTTCCCTGCTCAATTTTGATATTGGGAGAGGATGAGATAAAAGGGATGGGCATGGAAAGATCAAAGTAAGGCTGGAGCTGCCCCAGGCACAGGTCATGTGCCAAATGGGTTTGTGGATGAGCTTCTCCCAGCAGTTCTGGGTTCTGGGTGAGGAGATATCAGGAGTGTGCAAACAAGATTCCTTCTGTTTTCCACTCCCCCTCGGGTTAGTGGATCCGAAAGCCAAGCTAGACAGAGCTTCCCTCTTTCTCAAAGAATCATCTGAAGCTTTGTGAGTCTCTGGGTCGGGGATTTAAACCATTTCTATAAGCTTTTGAAGCCAGTAAACTTCAGGGGCAGCTCCTGGCTTTCTGTAGCTGTAGAATTCCTTCCCTTGGTTATCAAGTTTGCATGTCAGATTGGGCTCATGGCTTTTCCTCTATTAGATTTTCAAAGCTGGGGAGGGGGGGATGGGGAATGGATATCTTGGAAAAGGAGGTTGGGGTGTGCAGCCCCTCTGCAGAGCCAAAGCTGGGCCCAGGAACCTGTGGCTGGAGTGTGTCTTCATCTCAAACCACCTTCTCTTGTAAAAACATTCCACTTTTTCCCCCTAGAGATGTCTGGTTTGTAGGGAGGTTTTTTTTTTTCCTGCTTAACAAGTTGTTGTCTGGGAATGTGGCACCTCTGTGGATTTGGTTGTTATCACCAACTTTTGAGATCTCTGCAGTGGAGAAGCAGGTTGGGCAGCCAGAGCCCCGGTGCCTGGGCTCTCCAGATAAGACAGCGAAGGAAAATCAGAAGTCTGGGATAAGAAATGCTTTCTGAGCCTGTGTCTTATCCAGAGATACCACATTTCTGTGCACTTCAAAGTGCTGTTAAAATCCTGCTGGGTTTAGACCTGGCCCCCAGAAATTCGTAAACACAACGGGGCGTTTGGACTGAGGCTTCACCTCTTAAAACCTGTCAGTTTTTTGCCCTTGCTCCTTGCACTGAAGAGTTGTTACAAATTTCCCTCTGAGAAATTGCCTTCTAATCTCTATCCTAAAATTAACCACGGTGGTTTCTCCTCCATGCCAGCTGTGTCCTTCACCAGAAGCAGAGATCTTCCTCCTCCTCGTTGTTTTGCCTGCTTTTTCTAGAGCTGACCTAATTACTGGATTGCTCTGCTATTGCTTCTCTAACCAAGGTCATTTTGCTTCCCTGATCGCTGCAGTTCCATCCAGGAGTGGCAAATTCAAACTGGGAATGCTGGAGCCGGGAAAAGACCTGCAGAGATGATACTTTGTCCCTGTTTTGCACGAGACTCTTGTTTTGCACAGCTGTCTTTCCTGCAGTGGCTTTGCCTGATAAATCACAGAATCATGGGATGGTTTGGGTTGGGAGGGACCTTAAAATCACCAGGTTTATCTCTCTGCTGTAGGCAGGGACACCTTCCACTAGCCCAGGTTGCTCCAGGTGTTCAGTCTCAGACACTTCCAGGGATGGGGCAGCCACAGCTTCTCTGGGCAACCTGTGCCGGGATCTCCTTTGTGTCTCCTCAGGGTTGTGTCCTGCTGGGGTTTATGACCCAGCAGCACAGCAAATCACCTTGTTCCCTGTGCCCTCTCTCCTGACAGGATGTGGTGCCAGAGGCTGGCGTGGCTGCTCCGGGGGAGCTCCGGGCGTGGGTGTCCGAGGATCGTGGCGGCGGCGCGCGGGCACCACACGGCCCCGCGGCCCCTGCGCTGTGCCTGGCAGCTGCACGGCGACCATCTCGGTAGGTGTGCGTGTGCTCCTGCTGCTGAGGCTGCCTGGGCAGAGCACTGAGGCTTTCCAGACCTTGTTCCTTTTTTTTTTTTTCCCCTCTGAAATGACCAGCGCGCTAGTTCCCTCTGAGAATTCCCAAAGGCGGCACGGGGCAGGCTTTTCTGTTGGCGGCAGGTCTTTTATGATAAGCGAGGCAGTGCTAAATCAGAAGTCAAATCCAGGGATTCCAGCTCAGAAAGTGCATCTGAGCCCTGCCCTGGCAGGCAGCGTGTTCTGTGCTGTGCTCAGGCTCTCCTGGCAGGGAGGATCTGGTGTGTGCCCACCTCTTCTGCCCCCACTGGTGCATGTTGTCCTGGGTGATGGCTCCTGAGGCCAGTTGCATCTCAGTACTCTGAGTCACTTGGAAGCAAAGGGAATTGCTCAGCACTTTACATTGGCCCCTAGAAAGGATATTGTTGTTTTGTCGCTGCAAAGTGACCTCAGATACCTGAATTTTAAAGCTGGGTGGGAGTAGAGCAGGAAGGGCTCTCCTGTTGCCTTCTAAGGGCTTTGAGTATTCCTGAACTGTCCCAGGATGGGACAGAGAGAGGCTTGATGGTTTTTTGACTCCTCTCTGCACTCCTGTGCTGGAGTTCTGCAACTCTGTGATGTGCAGCTCTGAATTTACTCCTTGTGGAAAAGATGATGGAGGGAGGTCTGGGCACGGGGTGAGCATCAGCCGTGCTCCTTCTTGCTGCAGAAGAGGATGTTGCAGTGTAATGGCTTCCTACTGACAGATGGCAGAGTTAGACGGGATATTGGGAAGAAATTCCTCCCTGGGAGGGTGATAAGGCCCTGGCATAGGTTGCCCAGAGAAGCTGTGGCTGCCCCATCCCTGGAAGTGTCCAAGGCCGGGTTGGACGGGGCTTGGAGCAACTGGGCTAGTGGAAGGTGTCCCTGCCCATGGCAGGGGGTGGAACTGGATGAACCACAAGGTCCCTTCCAACCCAGACCATTCTGGGATGGTTCTTTGAGATGTCCTGTAGACTTGATAAGAAGGGAAGCTGGTGGGATCCCTGACAGCCAGGCCTTTGCTGAGATGTCCTGCCTGGTCTTCCTCATGTGACAATTTACATCAAGAGCTACCTGTGTGTCCCCTGTCAGTGTTACCATAACGTGTGGGCTCTGGGCTTGCATTCTGGGCTCTGTTTTTTCCTTCCTGTTTCCCCAAAGCGTCCTTTGCTCCCGCCCTTTGCAGAGCTCAGGTATGGGAGCACCCTGATGCGCTTGGATTTCGTGTGGCTGCGGGATCACTGCCGCTCCGCCTCCTGCTACAACGCCAAGACCAACCAGCGCAGCCTGGACACGGCCAGCGTGGACCTGGCCATCAGACCCCAGGCCGTGCGGGTGGACGAGAGCACGCTCTTCCTCACCTGTGAGTGCCACAGCACCCCTGCCCTTCCTGTTCTGATTGACGGATCCCACTCGGCTTTGCCAGGGCGGGGCGGCGTTATCCCAAACTAGGTGGGAAGGTATTGAGCTGGGAGCAGGTTTGAAACGCTGCTCTTACTGTAAACACACCTCAGCCTTAAGTTGTGTCTGGTTTTCCTCCCCCAGCCCTTTTTTGGGTAGAAATAGGTGTGTGCAGTGTGTGGGTGTTTGCTTGGTTTGGTTGAACACCCCAGAAATGCAGGTGGTGAACAGATGGGTCAAGGCACGGTTGTGTTTGAGGTGGTGTCATCCCTGATCACAATGCCCATTTTCTTCCCTTCCTCCTCAGTTTCCCACCTGTTTCCTTCCTTTTGATGGAGCTTGCCTTTATTCAAGGGCTTGGCTTCAGATGATTTGCTTCTCATTGGAATCCTTGTCAACCGAAACCATTGAGGGTGCACCATTTAGCCCTGAATTTTTGGAGGGACTTGCAGCAGCCCTGAATTTGGAGGGACTTGCAGCAGCCCTGAATTTGCAGTTGTTGCTGCAGCCCTGAATTGGGAGGGAGTTGTTGCAGCGACAATTTTTTCAGGAGTCGTGACCTTAGAGATGATATTTTGGGTGGCACCAGGGTGCAGAGAGCCCTTGTCCAGGCAGGTGAGCTGGGTGAGGCCTGTCCTGACGGATGCCATGACCACGATCCCGGGCTGTTCAGTGGTGACTGTGCCCTGTGTCCCGTGTCCCAGGGCCGGATGGACACGTGACACGCTACGGGCTGGAGTGGCTGGTGAAGAACAGCTACGAGGGGCAGAAGAAGCAGGTGATGCACCCCCGGATCCTCTGGAATGCAGAGATCTACCAGCAAGCCCAGGTCCCCTCCATTGACTGCCGGAGCTTCCTGGAGACAGACGAGGGCCTGAAGGAATTCCTGCAGAACTTCTTGCTGTACGGTATTGCTTTCGTGGAGAACGTCACTCCCACCAAAGAGGACACAGAAATCTTGGCAGAAAGGATCAGCATTATCAGGTAACTGGGGCTGTCCTGGGGAGGGTAAACTTGTTTTCTCCTTGTTTGGAAAGGTGCTGTGTCCTTATCCTGTATATTGTGCGGCATGGCCTGGTTTGCAAACAAAACCTCTGGGTCTTCTGCAGCTTCCAGCTGCCCCACTGGCCCTGGGATGGAGGATCCCGTGGTGGGATCTGCCCCCTTCTGTGGCAGAGCTGGGAGTCGTTGGGCTGTGGAGCTGCCCCAGGAGCTTACAGTGACTTTTGTGACAGTGGGACTGGGTAGAGAGCAGGGACTGAAGGAAGTGGCTGTCTGGGAAGAGCAGAGCTTTGCAAGGAGAGACATTTCCTGTTATGACTTGAGGGGTCAGGAGGGCAGCCTGGCCCTGGGAGCCAGGGACATCAAAAACCAGCCCTGGGAGCCAGGAACTTCAAAAACCAGTTATAGCTCTCACTAAAGAAAAACAGAGTGAGAAACATGTCTGCTGGGTTCGTGTAAAGCACCACCAGCACGGCAGGCTGGGCAGGGAGTTTGAAGTTTTATCCAAGCTGCAGAAATAGTTTGACTTGCCTTGGAAAAGGAGGGATTTTTTTTGATGAATGGTCACTCCAGATAGGAATGAGGGGCTCCAGGGGATATCCAACCAACTTCTGTCTCCAGACATCTTCCCTCTTTAGCCCCTGAGGCTGTTTGTCTTTACTGCTGTCCCTTCCCTCCTGTGCATGTTTGTAGGGATGAGGTGGGTGAAAACACAAGATCCTGGGAAGAGGAAATGGGATTATTGGGTAACCCTATGTGGGTACAAGGAAGGGCTGACTGCGCTTGGGCAGCTCCTTGTGTCGCTCAAGTGATTTGACTGGGGATGATGCTCAGTGTGAAAACATCTGTATTTGTGGACAGGAAGCGAGACTTGTCACCACCGGCCTTTTGGGAGGAAAGAGAGGAATTTGAATACTTGAAGAGGGATTAGAAGCACCGTCTCTTGACTGTAAATTTTGTCAAGATGTTTTACTTTAATTATTCTGTGCTTAGGATGCAGAGGAGTAACTTTGAAGGGAAGAGAGGATCAGCCCTATCCCCACAGTGCTCCATAACTCTTTTCCAGGGAGACCATTTATGGCAGGATGTGGTACTTCACCTCTGACTTCTCCCGGGGAGACACAGCCTACACCAAACTGGCCCTGGACCGGCACACGGACACCACCTACTTCCAGGAGCCCTGTGGGTACGTCCTGCTGCTGCTGCTTCCCAGACACAGGCAGGAGGCAGGAGTGAGGCCACAGCAATGCCTTTCCCACCAGCACAGCCTTCCTTGTCTCCAGTGCTGCTGCTGGGATGTGCTGCTGGTCACACAGTGATTCTAGGGCCTGTCTGATCATGGGATCCCAAAATGCTTTGGGTTTGGGGGGACCTTAACCTGGTCCCACCCCCTGCCATGGGCAGGGACACCTTCCACTAGCACAGGTTGCTCCAGGCCCCTTCCAACCTGGCCAACATGGCAAGGGGGGTAGAATGACATGATTTTTACGGTCCCTTCCAACCTAAACCATTCTGTGATTCCAGGATTCTATGACTTAGACTCACTTTCTAGCCTTTTTGTCTGCTTTCCCAAGAGGGGAACCTTCTGGAAATGGCCTGTGAGAGAACAAGTGGAAGCACTGTGATCCCAAATGGATCTAGGGATACAAAGAGAAGCCATCCAACCCCAGGGCAGGATTAGCTCTTCCCACATGAGGTTGGGAATTTGGTAAACATCCTAATGGGAAAAGAGCTGCAAGAACAGAGGAAGATGGAAGGGTGAGATCTTTGGCTGCACCTGGGTTTTGGAGCAGCCCTTCAGAGCAGGAACGGTGGATTGACCTGGATGTACCTGGCTGTGGCCAGCCAGGCAGGAAGCTTTGGGTGGTGGTGTTTGTTCTGGAGCAGCTCAGTGTCAGGAGCAAAGTAAGTGGATTTTACTGGGCCTTGTGGATCTGGAATCTGGATCTCCACCCTTCCAGCCAGATGTAGTTTGCCTCCCTGTTCCCAGTGAACCCGCAGGACCCATGTGCTTTTATGACCTACCTGCTTGGCTGACTTCTTTCGGGAGCTCACGAAACCTTCCCCAAAGCCAAATAAAAGAAGTAATTAGTGATCAGAACTTCAGCCTTCCGAAGAGCTTCCACTAAAGTGCTCAGCACCAGAATCCAGAGCTATTTTTATACCTTTCTTTTCCACTTGGAAGGGTTCCCCTCAGGTAGGTATATTCTCACCTGCAGCCAGCTGGAGTACATCAATCAGCGAATGAACAGGGCTGACCATTAAGGCTTGGAATTCTGCAAAATCACAGTTGTATAGGAAAACCAGGGATTTCTGGCTTTCCTAACCCCCTTCTAAAGGGAAACTCAGGCTCCAGGAGGAGGGAAACCCAGGCTGTGGGAGGCTGCAGCATTTCTCACTGCTCAGGGACCTCAGCCTGCCCTGGAGGCTTTCCCAGGGCCCTGAGCTGCCCCAGGAGCTGGTTGCCCCAAGGCACGGAGTGTCCTTTGTTCCAGTGCTCCTGGACTGACTCTGAAATCATCCTGAAGCTGTTGTGGGTAGAAGGTGGGAAGAGCACTCGGGTGAAAAGGTGAGGGTGGGGTGGCAGGTCCTGCTACATCACCTGCTGTGGGACTGGAATAACAGGCCCCGAAGGGAGATTGGAAGATAAAGGCTTTTCCAGAAGGTCCCCATTAGTTTTCCGGCAAGAGAAAATTGGGAGTAGGTGGCTGGAGGCAACTCCTGTGTGTTTGTTCCTGGCAGTGCAATGCCTGCCTCGCTTGGATGAAGGAAAAGAGAAGCTTCAGTAATAGGACAAAAGCTGAGCTGGATGGCTTCCCACTAGGGAGGGGATGTCCTGTAGGTCAGCTCCTCACTGGAACTGCTCTGCTCCAGGCTTTCCAAAGAGAACCCTGAGGGACTTCTGACTGCTTGTGGGAGACCATGACATACATGCCTTTGCATGAGCTACCTGGGCTCCTCTTGTAGTTCCTGGAGATCCCACCAGCACATGCAGCACTTTTTTAACTGTCCTGTTCTGAGCTGTTCCAGGAAGGTGGTTTTATGCTTTTGAACCTCTGTGTCCTGCTGCATGGATGGACTTAGAACACAGTCATGGAATCCCACAGTGGTTTGGGTTGGAAGGGAACTTAAAACTCACCTCATTCCACCCCTCTCCATGGGCAGGGACACCTTCCACTAGCCCAGGTTGCTCTAAAGCCCCGTCCAACCTGGCCCTGGACACTTCCAGGGATGGAGCAGCCAACAGCCTCCTTTGAGTGAGGTTTGGGACTTCGGGTGCCACAGACCTGACCCTAAAGTCTCCCAGACTCACATCAGTGGCTTTGGGAAGCAGCACACAGCAAAACACGTGGGATCAGAGGCCTGGAGAAACGGCAGGGTGCGGGTGGAGCGCCCACCTGTGTCCCTGGGCAGCGCCTTGTGCCCTCAGGACGGGCAGCCAGGGTGATTGCTCTGGGGTGGTGTCTCCCCTGACAGCATCCAGGTGTTCCACTGCCTGAAGCACGAGGGCACGGGCGGGCGGACGCTGCTGGTGGACGGTTTCCACGCGGCGGAGCAGGTGCTGCGCCAGGCCCCGGAGCACTTCGAGCTGCTCAGCAGAGTGCCCCTCAAACACGAGTACGTGGAGAACGTGGGGGGCTGCCACAACCACATGATCGGCGTGGGGCCCGTGCTCAACGTGTACCCCTGGAACAACGAGCTCTACCTGATCAGGTAACGGCCAGCGTGATGCCTCTTGCTCGTGGGGGAGGAAAGGGGGGGTGGCGGGAGTGGTTTTCCAGGAGAGGCTGTGAACTAAAAACCAGCATATTTTTGAGGGGTGTATTCCTAGAGTGTTCCTCCCGCTTCAGAGGAAGTGTCAGAACCACCCATACAAACACAGGGGGCGGTGCTGAGCTTTGATTTCTCACTCCTGGCATCCTCCCTGCAGCTCCATGCTCTCCATTTGAGAGGCAGAAGATTCAGCCCTTCTCTGGAGAAGCCCCTAGGAGAGCTATCCTGGCATGCAGGGATCAGGGAGAGTGCAGACCGATCCCTTCTAGAGGAAATTTGGGCTGATATTTTTTTGAAACTCCAGTTTGGCTCCAGTTTGCTGGAGGTTGTCCAGCACTGCTTTGCACTTTTTGTCTGAACAATCCTCAGTCTCACCACATCCTTTCACGGAAAACCAGGAAGAAGAGGTTTACCTTGACAGGAAACTCCTCTTACTCTGTGTGTAAAGTCCTTACTCCCTGAAAGTCCTGCTCTTGCAATGTAACCTCCTTGGTCATCTCTGCATCCTCCCTTAAACACCGACTAATCCTGCAGGCTCCTGAGGTTCCCTAGGAAGCAGCTGGAGTGATGCTGGGCCTCCCCTTGTCCCTTTTTCCCCCCCTGCAGGTACAACAACTACGACCGCGCCGTCATCAACACGGTGCCGCACGACGTGGTGCGCCGCTGGTACCACGCGCACCGCGCGCTCACCACTGAGCTCAGGCGGCCGGAGAACGAGCTGTGGGTCAAGCTGAAGCCAGGCAAGGTGGGACTTGGAGCTGGGTCGTGTGGGCTTGCTCCAGGGAAGGAAGCAGGGTGCTCCATGGGTGTGCCGGTGTCCTGCCGCTCTCCTGCCTACAGCGGCTTTAAGGCACCTTGTAGTGGCCTCTGTGTGTGAGTGTGTGTGTTCCTGCTGTCCTAAAGGAATGTGAGCTTCCAGGTAAGGCAGAAATGTTTGGTTCAAGCTCTGCCTCAGAGGAAGGTTAGTCCCAGCTGGAGGAGGGAAGGAGGATCTTTGCAGTCACTGAAATGAGGGCCCTCAGGAGCAAAGGGGATGAAACACCCAGTGTTCAGCCTTTAACTTCTAACAGAAGATAAATTTATTTTGATGGAACTAAATTACAGTTCTGAGGTTATATTTGACCCCTTACATGGGTGAGTGAGACTGCAGAGGCAGGATATTGTGGCTGCCCCATCCCTGGAAGTGTCCAAGGCCAGGTTGGACAGGGCTTGGAGCAACCTGGGCTAGTGGAAGGTGTCCCTGCCCATGGGAGGAGAATGGAGTGGGAGGGGCTTTAAGGTCCCTCCCAACCCAATCCATTCTTGGATTCTGAGGTGGCCACTAGCTATTGAACTATTGCCCAACCCCTCCAGTGGAGAAGCAGAGAAACAGCCCAGAGTGCTTCTGTGTTTTAGTACCTGTCATCTTTTAGGCACAGGTCCTGGCTCCAGCTGTGCTGGATCCCATGGCTGTGACCCCACAGTGTTGAACAGGAGGGTTGTGCCCACCATGGCACTCCCTTATCTGCTCTTCCAGTCTCCAGGCATCTCCAGGACCTGTCCTGCCGTGGTTGCCCTCCTGCTGATGACCTTTTTTCCCCTTTCCTGCAGGCCCTGTTTGTGGATAACTGGCGTGTCCTGCACGGCCGGGAAGCGTTCACGGGATACCGGCAGCTCTGCGGCTGTTACCTGACCAGGGACGACGTGCTGAACACGGCCCGGCTCCTGGGGCTGCAGGCTTAGCCCAGCCCCTGGGAGGGGCTGGCAGCCCCAAATCCCACCTCCGGGAGGGGCAGGCAGCCCCCAATCCCACTTGTGGGAGGGGCAGGCAGCCCTTCAATCCCACCTCCAAGAGGGGCTGGCATCCCCAAATCCCACCTGTGGGAAGGACAGGCAGCCCCCAATCCCACCTCTGAGAGGGTCAGGCAGCCCCCAGTCCCACTCATGGGAAGGGCAGGCAGCCCCCAGTGCCACCCCCGTGGTGGAACAGGAGTGCTGATGCCCCTCCCTGTGCTCTGAGCCCTCCGTGCTGGTGCCTCCCCCTGACACAGACACTGCACATACCTCAGACACCTCCGCCCTCTCCAGGCAGCTCTCAGTGCCTGCTCAGGAGAGGGAGCAGGTGGAAGCCAAAGGTTCTGGGACCTTTATGGGACCACGCTCTGCCTTTGAGCACAGTCAGCTCTTGCTGTCCGTGCTCCCAGCCTGGCCTTTCCAGCGTGGCTCAGCTCTGGTCAATCTTCACCTTAGGAAGTGCTCCTCCAAGCAAGTGCCTTCAGGATTTGGAAGCTTTGCATTGTTCCCTGTTCAGCCCTTTTTTTTCAGCTTCCACTTTTAGGGGCTTTTTAGCAGAACAGTGTGGAAATCTTTGGGATCTTCTTCCGTGTCACTGATCCAAGCCGTGCTGCCTGGAGAGATCCTGGTGTACTCTGGGCATTTCTGAGGAGATGGAAAAGGGAAACAGCAAGATCTGCATGTTGGGAAGCAGAGATGACCATGTTAGATGAGGGATGGAATTCCCACTTTTCCTTGACTTCCAGTACTGCCCTGCTGGTGTTCCCTGTTGATTGTGTCGAGGGTGGCACTCAGCAGCCACAGTATCTGCTGACAGCCTTCCCACCCTGCCTTCTCTTCCATCTTTTCTTAGGGAATTTTTGTGAGGTTGTCATCACATTTCCTGCTGCACAAACCTGACCCTTTGGGTATGGTTTTTTCCCCCAAAATTTTCCTATTCTAAAGGTACCAGAGCTCCAAGGAGATGGGAGGGTAAATTGGGCTCTGGCACATTAAAAGGCCACAGGGTAAGGAAACAAAAGCAAATCCTTTTGTTACAGGAACGTTGGAATTTCAGAACCAAGAGGGCGTTTTAGGATTTGATTATTTTTTATCCTTTTTGGGGTGTTCCCTCTGCCCTGCCCAGACCTCAGAGCAGGGCTGAGCCCCTCCTGGCTGTGCTGTGTGAGCTGCTCTGTGCCCACAGTGCAGGTGCTGAACTTGCTGCCCTCATTTAATCCAAACATTGAATGTGCAGATCCCAGTATTTCCTCTTTGTAGGTTCTCCTGAGGTGCCAGTTCCACCTGCACAGCTGAGAGGGGAAGTTTCACAGCTCTCCATTAATCCTGTAGAAGCAGCAAACCCCAGCAGGAACTTGTGGTGTCCCTCACCCATCCCAGCTCCGTGTTCCAGAGCTGCTTCCACCCTGTACTGCTGCTGAGGGAAGAGTTGGTGCCCAAAACAGTCTGTTACTTGTAAAAAGGAGGGGACAGAGGGTTCTTGATCAGTATTTGGAACCCTCCTTAAATTCCTACAGGGTTCCTGAGCTATTTTTCCTCCCTGTGCCCCCGGGATCTGAGGGAAACACTTAGGTACTGTGGGACCTTCCCTTGGAGAGATCAGCTTCACCTTCCCCTGCTCAGAACTCCATGTTTATCAGCTGCAGGCTGGAAATCTGCTGGATATCTGTTTCTACTCCGTGGCACGAGGGAGACCCCACCAAAGGGTACTGACCACGCTGTCGTGACAGAGGTGCCTTTGCGACAAGGAATGTGGTGCCTTGGGCTGGGCTCTGCAGACATCAAGCCCTCATGAACCAGCCCCAAGCCAACCCCCTCCTTAGCAGGACTGTGTGACCTATTTTGGGGGAAAACTGTCCCCAATGAATGTAGAAGAAACACAATCCCTCATCTTTCAAATCCTTTCCTCACCCCTGTGATAAACAGGGAGTGGGGAGAGCTGTGTTTCCATCTTGTTTCACCATTCCCCACCTCCCAAGAGGGCTAAATTCTTCCTGGGCAGCTTGGGAGCATCCAGAAGTTCTGTGAAGGAGCAGGAGCTGGTGGGAGGTGCCACTTGTCCCCTCCAGGTGTTTGCCGGGCCGTGTCCTGGAGCGGGGCTGCCGTGACAGGGGGTCAGGCTTTGTGATCCAGCTTTTCCACTTCCTTCAGCCAATAACTGACCTGCTTTCTCCTCCTTCCCAGCGCTCTGGGTGATCCAATGGATGTGTTTAATCAGACTTTTCCAAAACTAAGAAATCGAGTCTTCAAATAAATCACTTATAAAGTCTTCAGCTTAACAAAATATGTATTTAAGCACTGATGAGCTTGTAAATAAGTCTGTTTTACGCAGCAAGGAGGGGGAATGCAGAAGAGGAGCCATAACCCAGTGCATCCCAGTTGGCTTCCCCGCGTTTCTCCTTTCCCTGGCCACACGATGGCACAAGCTGCCAGGAATTGGTGCTTAAAAAAATTCACGAGTCCCAGTGGTGCTGTGCTCTCTCCATTTCTTCGGAGAAGCCCAGGAATTGCTGTCCAAAGCCTCTGTGGCTGGGAATGTTGTTTAAGGAGCCGTGGGATGCCATGTCCATCGTGGCAGAGGGTGGAGCAGGGAGTGGGAATGATGTGAGGAAATTGGAGAGCTCGGTTTGGGGGATCCGAGGGTGCCTGGAGGAAGCAGAGCAGGTTTGAAGGCAGCTGAGCCCAGCCCAGTCTGACAGGACTCTGTTGCTGTGTACCCCGGGATCCTCCGTTCCCATCAGCACATCCCAGGGCCCCCACTTTGGTCCCCTTTGCTACCGGGGCTGTCTCTCCCTCACCTCACCCTGAGCGATCCCCCCACCCCACGCACACCTTCAGGTGCCTCCACTCACCCTGTATCCTCTCCAGGCTGCTCTATTTGCCCTCCGGTGCCCCCTACATCCCTGTTTGCTCTCGTCTCCCCCAGGACTCCAATTCCTCCTGCTGTGCACTGCAGCCCCTCCTTCAGCTTTTGGGGCTTCCCAGAGTCCTCAGCCCTGCAGTGAAACCAAACCACCCCATTTTCCCTCCGGTGTGTCCCAGAGCTTTCTGCCTTCCCCCAGTGCACTCTCAAGCCCCCTTCTCACTGCCGGCTCTCAGAATTCCTTTGGTGCAGCTTTTGGTGCATCCCTTTTGGTCTCTCTCTGGTGCCACCAGGAGCCTTTGGCTCCTCACAGGGCTCAAATGAAATAGAAAGAAGTCGCTTCCACCCCAGCTGAAAATTGTTTCCTTTTTTAGCTTCACTCCTCATTTGGGGCTTGGAGCAACCTGGGATAGTGGAAAATCCCCCTACCCACAGCAGGAGGTGGAACGGGATGGGCTTTAAGGTCTCTCCCAACCCAAACCATTCTGGGATTCCATGGATGTAACAAACTGAGGAACGGGGGGGAAAGGTAAGGAGGCAGGTGGTGAAAGAAAAGCGGGAAAAGGGATGGAAGGGGAGTGTTGGGCACATGGTGGGAGGTGCTTTGGGAGGTGGGGGCTGGGTTCCATCCACATCCACCCACTTTCTCCTGATGCTTCCCCCAGGGCTCTCCTGTCCCAGCATCTGGCTTTGGAGCCCCGTGGGAGTCCGAGGGGTCTGGCTGTGCTCAGCAGGGCAGGAAAGCTTTCCCAGCACTCAGGGGCAGAACCCAAACCTTCCCCAGCTCCTCAGCCCTCTGTACCCTCAGTCTGGAGATGACATTGGGTCCCCAGGTCCTGATCCCAGGAGTGACTCCTCCTTAAACTGAAATTCCCTTTGCAGAAAGTCAGAGGGACATGGATGATCCCAGCCCACATCCTAGAGATGGAGGGAAAAGCTGCTCCCAGTGGGATGAGTGTTTTGGAGCCAGGCTGAGCCCCTGCCCCCCAAATCCGGTGACTTCAGGCTCCACTCCGGGAGCTGAGCCCCAGGGATGGGGCGGGAGAGGAGCTGTGGGAAAGGAATAGGGATGAATCTTCTGCCTTCGGGACACAGAAGTGGTGCGGGATGTCCCCTGTAATTCCCAATCCTGTGGGATGTCCCCTGTAATTCCCAATCCTGTGGGATGTCCTCTGTAATTCCCAATCCCGGGGAGCCGCGGCAGCCACTGGTGCCCGCGCGGTGCCGGGGCCATCGCAGCTCTGCCTTCCCTTCCCTTCCCATCCTCGGGAGCGCGGGGACAAGAGCGGGAGCTGTCGCTGCTGCCCGGAAGGCTCCCGGGAAGAGGAGGCGGCACGGAGGGAGAGGAGCCATCGGCAGGAAAACAGGCTGGGAATACCCACGGCGTCGGGAATCCATCCTCACGGTACAGCCTCACCTGTTGCTCTCATCCCAGCGTGGGGATTTCAAGGGGATGTTTTAAATCAGGGAAACTCGGGGCTGTTTTTCCTTGGCAGATGCTGCGGTGCCGTCCCGCGGAGCTGCTGGGGATCACCTGGGTGCTCCTCGCAGGTAAGGTGGCCCCGGGCTGGGCTGCGCTGGGAGCCGGTGCCGTCCCGTGGGCTCCGCGCCAGGTCCTCGCCTGCTCCAAACCTCCGGAGAGGCTTCGGAGGAGCTCTGGAGTTTTTTAGGTGGGGGAAAAGGCTTAACCTGGAAGAGAAAGGGGTGTGTGTGTGTGTGTGTCCAGGGACAGAGGAGATGGGAGAACCAAGGCACAGTTCCAGGAATAAAAGTCGGCTGCAGGCAGATTTATGCTGGGGCTGAGAGATGTCATAGTGCAAATATGTACATTAATATATGTGTGTTTGTACTAAAAAAATGTATATAAAAACATATGATACATGTAAACCCCCAGATTTTATTGCAGAGCAGTGACACTGTGCTCCTTACATACTCACTGGCTGCCCTGAAATACAAATCATAGAGTTATGGAATGGTTTGGGTCGGAAGGGTCCTTAAAACCCATCCTGTTCCACCCCCTGCCATGGGCAGGGACACCTTCCACCATCCCAGATTGCTCCAAGCCCCATCCAACCCGGCCTTGGACACTCCCAAGGATGGGGCAGCCACAGCTTCTCTGGGCAACCTGTGCCAGTTCCAAATGTGCAGAGATTTTCAGGATGAGCATCTAAAATAGAAAAGAAACCCATTACCCTATACCTCGATTTTGGGGTGGTGTCAGTGAGCTCTGAGGGTCTGCAGGACGAGCTTTGGCCATTGCTGCTGTAAAAGATTGCTGGGATGAAGTGTTTTCTCTTGCCTTCAGCTCGTGGTTCTGCATGGTTTGTATAAATAGTGTTTTCCCAGAGAAAAAGGGCTTTCAGTCTTTAAAATTGTTTTTTTTGTCCCTCCACAGCTACAGTGTAGTGGGGGGGGGGCAGGAAGGCACAAAAATAGCTGATTTTCAAGATCACAAGAATGAGGAATTAGAATCAGTAGGTGAACTTGATTTACCTGCACTGTCCCACCTATTTTCTTTCCCACCTGTGCCTCAAAATCCCCAGGGACAATCCCCAGCGGGAGCAGCAGGAGAGTTTGCAGGGCTGTTTGCTGTCTCTGGAGGTGCAGTGGGAATGCAGGTGAACAGCTGCTTATCGGGGCAGGAGGTGAGACACCACGAAGAGCAAACAGAGGCTGTGCAGCCTGTGAGAATCCCCCCTGTGAGAACTGCCCCTCACTGCCGGGCTCTGGGGCTTAGGAAGATGTTTCCATCCCACCTCATTTGTTGGGAAATGTGGCTGGGGGTGTTTGGGGTCAGGTGGCTGGGGATGGACTGAGATCTCTCCCCTTCCTTTCCCCTTCTCTTTCCCTCCTTTAACCTCACCTTCTGATTTTTTTAGAGAGTCCACTTCACAAGATCAGGCTGCAGGAGTGATTTCTGCCCAGCTTTCCTAGAGTCCTTATTTGTTTGGAGGGGGGATGGGGGCTGTGACCTTCCCACAGCAGCTCTTCTTGAAGTTCTTGAGCACCTGGCAGAGCCCAAGGTTGAGGCAAGCCCAGGAATTTTTGGGAGGTGGCTGCATCCCCCCGTCCTGGGAGTGTGTGGACATGTTCAACCCCCAACAAAACTGGGAATTCTGTGGCTGCCCCATCCATGGAAGTGTTCAAGGCCAGGCTGGTGGGGACTTGGAGCAGCCTGGTCCAGTGGAAGGTGTCCCTGCCCAGGGGGCTGGAATGAGATGAGCTTTGAGGTCCCTTCCGACCCAAACCATTCCAGAATTCTATGAATTGGGAATGAGCCATGGAAATTAGGTCAGGATGACAAAACCTCAAGCACAGAACCCAGTTCCACCCCCCTGCCTGCCCTAGACCAGGTTGCTCCCAGCCCCATTCCAGCCCCTCTCCCTCCCCCCAGCGCCGCTGGTGCCGTTGCCTCAGGCTGTGGGAGCAGCAGGACCGCCCCAGGGAAGAGCTGCTGCTGTGGGATCCTCTGTGCTGCTCCCTGGGCTGGATAACATCACCCACAGCCATTCCACGCGCTGGGAATACTCCAATGGCACCAGCTCCCACACCATCCTGCAGCACGACGGGGGCTCTCACACCCCGGCCATCCACGCGCCTTACGTTGGACGAGCTGTTTTCCACCCATCCAACGGATCTCTCACGCTGGAGGATGTCCAGGAAAGTGACAGTGGCATCTACAGGGTGACTGTCAGCGGGGGAGAAAGAGAGAGCCTGGAAATCCTGCTGGAAGTCCTCGGTGAGTGGTGGGTGTGGGAGGGAGGAGCCGGGCAATGGATACAAGTAGAGCAGTAGTGGAATTTGACAGAAGGGATTTGGAGAAGGGATTTTGAGCAAAGACTGATGGGCCAGGCCTGAGCTTGTTTGAACCTGTCATGTATGGACACAGCACCAAGGAGACCTTTGGAAAGAGGTTCCCACCCTGTCCTAGGGGAGAAGATCAACCCAAGGAGACCTTCTGGGGGGCCCAGCTGGGACAGAGGGCTGAGCTCTGTCCTGGAAAGGAATTCCCTCCTTTGTTTTCTACTCTTCAGTCCAGGGATAGAGGGACCAGTGGGGGCATGGAGGGACTGGTGGGAGGATGAAGGGATGTCAGAGGGACCAGTGGGATGATGGAGGGATTGATGGGAGGATGGAAGGATGCCAGAGGGACTGGTGGAATAACAGAGGGTGGGATAACAGATGGAGGGAAGATGAAGGGACCAGTGAGATGACAGAGGGACAGGTGGGATGATGGAGGGGCCAGTGAGGTGCTGCACACCCACTGCCACCTGCAGAGAGTCCCTGCAGCACTTTGCCACGGTTCACCCAGCAGGGCCGATGGAGCTGAGCCCAGCAGGGTGGGCTTTGTGGAGGAGCCCCAACCCCCCCCCAGCCCCCGCTGGCCTGTGGTCTGTGTGCCGGCG